CATAACAAAATTAAATAAATTCTTTCTAATTAAATTGAATACTTTAAGTAGATAATAAATATAATTCAAATACAATATCAAATTTAAAAACTAAACAAATTAAATAACTTATATGTGACTGAAATTATATGAATAGTATAAATTTGAATATCATTAATTAATTAATATTACTTTAGAATACTCTAGGTGGCAACCTGAGACTCTAAATTGTCAAAGCTGTTATTAAGCTGAAAAGCAGAAAGGCAGCTGAGAGGAAAATGTCTACATTCAAATGATATGCATAAAATACATATTTGTAGCACAAAATGGTGCTATATGCAAATGAAAAGTACATAATAAAATCCAACCAGGTGACATGTATTTTGCACTATACTTTTAATGAGTTTACTTGTGTTTACAGCATTTACCTTTAAAGAACGACTGTATAGAGACGGTTGTTTCTTTTGCAATATTTTGCTATTACATTCTTTTACATCTTAAAAAGCTATTCAATTTTATTTCATATTTAAAAGTATTTTAGAAATCACCGCCTTAACCACATGTAAAGCACATGCACATATTTGTCAAAGTGAGTTTTATTGTCATTTTCCTTTTCAGAGAGAGTCAGAGAGAAAAACAAAACTGTGTTTTCTGGGAAATCGTGGTGTGACATCAACATTTAAGAAACATTATTTACAGCAGCCCAGCAGCACAATGATAGAGACTAATATATTAGCCCCCTGTTCGCCCTCCAAGGACCCTTTCATACTGCAGTATTTAAATAAAACAGCTTATCACGTGAATTTTAACATAGAATTGGGCAATGTACTAAAAGTGGAGCAGAAAAGAGAATGTGACTAAACGAGGTGCTAAAAGGTCAGTTTCTTCACTCTGCTTTTCCCTGAAGCTTTAAAGTCCCAAACTTCCACATGTATAATGAAGTACTAGATAATTGTTCCCCTGTGAACCTCTGAGGCAGAGCGAATTTAATAATTACCATACTCCTGGTCTCCCTCAGGTTCCCTTTGTGTACTTAGCAACAAGAGCCTGGGAATATATATTAATTACCGTAAACGGCACGGTCGGTATGTTAGGCCTACGAAGCACTTTCATAACAGAGGAGGTCTGCTCGGTGATAATGTGATGTCACATTCATGGTTGAGTAGTGTGAGTTGATGTGATGTGTTTGTCAGGCACGATGTGATGTTGATGTGTTCTATCTATGTTTTATAAAGGTCAGCTGTCTGACTATTGATTACTTGTTCAATAAAGGGTTTCAGTGGAATAATCAATATGACCCTGAGGTGATGTCAGCCGAGGCATCCGGTGTGTGTGTGTGTGTGTGTGTGTGTGT